GGGCAAGGAAAAACTGCCTTTTAACGGGCAGAAACCTCGGACAGACCCTTCGGCTCTAGGTGGGTGGTCATCTGCTAATGAACACTAAACTAAAACTAAAACTAAACAACAACAGCCTGCTCCAGCTTGCCTTTAACAAGGAGGGTTATAAGCACACAGTCAAGGGTGCAAGACTCTGCAGCCTTTCATCATCAGGGTGCGGCATCTTTCATTAAATATTTTAATCCTCCTTCTTGGACATGTCAAGACAGTCACAGCATACCTGACGCTTGTAAAAATACATTGGTATTTGTAGTTGCATTGTTTTCCAAATTACAACTGGGTTTTGACAACTGTGTTTGAAAGGGAGTAAATATTCAGAAACAGGTATCTCCATTTTCAAGGTTTACTGAGAAAAGATGAACAGGTTTATAAAATCCATCTTTGAGAACTGATTCAGTCAAAAAAACAACGGAAGCTACCAACAGATTTAATGCAGACGTATCTACCTTATGTCCACAAGTGTTACATAACCACCCACTTACTCTGCATGTGAACGTCTATAAATAAGAGAGGCAATGAGGTGACAGACACTAGAAGCCTGGGGCTGACTGTATTCACGCCTCAGGATGGATAAAGGCTGCTGGAAACAGACCCTTGTGGTGGTCTTGGTCAGCACGTATGCAGAAGGTAATGACATTTGTTTATGTTATCACCAGTTTTGTGAGGTGTGTGGGGTGTGTGGAATGTAATGGCGATACATGTATTATACACTGAGACAGCATTACTGTTATACTGTATTTCATAATGAAAGACAATCAAATAAGACTTCACTGGAATGATGTTTCATTTGCACAGTGGTAAAATATACCAAATAAGCTAATTAGCAACTAAACATATTCACACCAGAAGCCTAAGGTCAAATACTATCAAACATATATCACACAATTCTACTTGCATGTTTTTGAACGCACACATGTATGACTTGTGGGTAGCAAACCCTTTACAGTATATTTTCAGCTGCAACTTTCTTCTCTCATCCACTTTCACCGCAAATACTGCTGACCAAACATAACAACCTGCCTCTAAACATAAAACAGCAGTCGCAGATGGACAGGGGGTAGGTCTGCCATCTGTGTTACTCCAGCACTATTAGTTTGATAGTTTCTTGGTCCAGCAAGTCACTGCGATGTAGTCTACCTCCAAACTGGATCAATTTAAGCTGGTCATCATATTCAGGGACTAATTGATCAAACAAATGGTAGAGGGGACAGGTTTGTTATCTGAGATCCTGAAGGTACTCCGTGAAGCAGTCTACCTGGGCTTGTCTCAGCAGGTCTCATTCAACTTACCAATAGTCTTATGCAGCAACATCTCCAGAAGCCATATTGGTGAGTTTGAGCTGCTATAGCACTGCCAACTGGGCACCAGTCAGAGCAGCATATAACTCCAGCAATGGCATCGACTGCTGACGCTTGGAAGCCACTCTCGAACGTGATGTGCCACTTGTAGATGTTGGGTGCTGCCTCCCTCTGCAGGTCCCTCCACAAGAAACGGAGCAGGGGCCTATCCTCTGGCAGCAACCTGACCTGGTGGAACATACCTTTATTGTCACTGCTGATGGCGACGACATGCTCCCTAAATCTTTGCAGGAACCCTAGAAGGTTTATATTCTTATATAGATGCTTATATTCATGCTGGAGCATCTCGACAGGTTAGGGGTACTCTGCCATCCCCAGCTGATCTGTAGTAAAGGCTCTCTGGATCTTGAAAGTCCTTTGGGGATGACTGGCATGAGAAATAGAAAAGGAGACAGACATACCATGCATTCTGAGACCCTGGCCCACTGTCCTTAAGGCAAGATGCTTTTGTTCCCCTTGGAAAGGAGTTGCTGCAAAGGAGCTAAAACTAAGCTCTTTTGCGGCAGCTGGAAGGAGCATAGTCCGCTCTGAACCATACCATGTAGGTCTCCATGGCCTGCTTTCAATTACGTAACACAACTTTGGTTAGCTTCAGGAGCATCTGACTTCCTATCCATGTATAGCACTTCATTAGGTGTACTCACAAAGCAGGAGGTGATTTCTAAAGCTGGCCTGGTGTTGAGGTCATGGAGAGCCTCCAGATGTCTGAAGTAACATCTCTTGCACCTGGCCTTCAGTCTGCACAGTGTGTGGCCTGGTGAGAGTGGCCACAACGCCAGCATTGTCTGTTATTCTTGACCCAGGCAGTCCACTGCTCAGTAGTAAGCTGGCGGAAAGGAATGCACTGGTTCAGATAGTGCTTGGCATCTGCACAGTATGGGCACAACAGGATGACTTAACCTGATGGACTGGCACTGGTGAATGGGACAGCTGGAACAGCAAAGGCGTTTGACATCTGTTCAGTCCCATGAAGGTTTGTAGTCGGCTTCCCAGACTTTGAGTCCTTGGTAGCTTGGACATCAGCCTAGTGATGTGGGATCCACACTGAAGCTCCACCTGGCCTTTGTCTCCTAGCTGGTCAAACATGCCCACCAAGGCTCTTACTCAGAGGGCAAATCTTTTGAAAGCGTTGTGGCTACGGATGTTAGGCGACTCCATTAGGTCTGCGATGCACCTTAGTGCTAGCTGGTGGGGTTGTCCATAGTGCTCTGTTAACAAGGCTGTAGTATTTGTATAGGGCTGGTTAGAGTTTGTATACGAGTCTGCAATGAGAAGTGCTTCTTCGAATTTGAGGTGGTCTACCAGGATCTGATATTCAAACCTTTCAGTGGCATCCTTAGGAAGAAGGTTATCCAAAGAGGTCTTTAGCATGGCAAACTCACGTGGGTCCCCCTTACTGAAGTCTGGGGTTAGGGTTAGGTAGGTTGGTAGGTTGAGAGCCCAGAGGAGTGGAAGTCCTCATTTGCTTCTGTTAGGTGCAGGTGAGAAAATTAATAAGCTCATCCATGCAGATGAATCAATGGACGGTGTGACCACTCAGTAGGACACAGTCTCATCCTTTTGAGGCATGCTGTCAGCTCCACCACTAGATCTGTGGGTAGTGGGCAAGGGATGATTGAGGTTTCAGGTAATCTTGTTTCACTGGAGGGGGAGGGAGTGGCCAATCACCATCTTGCCTCGTTCTTCTTTACAGGCCTCCAATCACAACACTGGGGATTGGCATAGTATGGCAGATGGCCTGGCTGGGAGCTGCCGCATTTGGTGGGCTGAGGGAACAACAGCGTGCACTGGTGTCTCCCCAAGTCGGGCGGTGGAAGGAGGAAGTAATCAGAACCATTATTCCTCCTCCACCTCCCTCCAAGCCTCTCGCTGCATTAAGCTGCCTTTGTGTCTAAATCACGGTGTACTGAAGCCTCTGGTTGTCTTCCCTGATCTGCCGCAGTGCTTCGAGTATTGCAGGTGTTGCCTCTGGCGCTAATTGGAGAGACAGTGGAGGTTGGGTGCTTTGGTGCTGGGGTCCTGAGAACACTGACTCCCTGGGATACTTTGGACGGGCACCAGTAGCTGGACACTGATCAAAGGGCTTGGCTCCACAGTGATCACTCACATCCGGCTCAAAGGACAAAATTTGACCAAGTATTACAATAATTTTAATTTAATTATTATAATTTTCAGGTTTGGACTAGTTGGTAGAACAAAACATTGTGTCACTTTAGAATTTTTAAAAACTAAACAATCAATCTGGTAATTCATAAAATAATCAGCAGATGAAGCCATAATGAAAATAATCATTAGTTGCAGTCTTGTACAAATAGTTCAAAATGACCTCAACCAACTACAACTGTAAAACCCTGCTTTTACATTAACGCATGAGCAATAATAATCTAATGATCTCATATATAATAGTAACAGGGAACATTTTCTACTTCTTCATGTACATTTTCCTGATTGAAAAGTTATTAAACATTTCTGATGCTTCTGGGGTTTATTTGAACCAGTAATGGTTGCAAACACACTAGTAAATCTGATCAAAACACTTTATAAGTTCAGTCTGTGTGACGTCCTAAGTACCATGATGGTGGGAGTTGTTTTGGGATACAAACCGAGTTCAAAGGTAAGGTTGTGTAGGGCTGAAGAGACAATTATGTCTTTTCTGTTCTCGTCTCCAGCTTCCTTCTCCTGTCACATGGATGACTTCATCAAGGCGGTGAAGC